CTATGCTTTTCATTCATCAAGTTGTCTCATCGGCTTCGAAACTCTCATGTCTCTGAACTATTTAGGAAGTATAGAGATACGCTACTGCCCTCTTCTCACGTTACTACCATTGCATGGCTTTGATAATGAATACCCCTTTGCAGCACCAGTAATCGACTCTTTACAGATGCTTTTCACAAGTGAAACAACGTCTCTGGTGTTGCATATCTTTTGTAGGATGATTTCAGCTGTTTATGTTCCCGAATCTCACCATGTTCGTACTTGATGGGGACAAGATTGGTAATACTGACGCTGAATTACTGTTGGATGGGCTCGACCCTAAGGAAGAGCTGGTTAAACTGCACTTGTACAACTTGTCCTCAAAAAGGAGACTTCCTGCTTTGTCAAAGCTGATGAACTTGGAAAGGGTAATTGTCATAAATGTTCCAAATCGGCAAAAGATTGAAGCCTTGTTGGTTTGAAATCCCTGGAAGAGATATGTCTCATCCTTGGCAAGATTGCATGCGGATCAACTATATGGTTTGGAGCAATTGATAAAATTAACAGTGAAAATGCTCCGAGGCTGCGACAAATGGAAGGCCTTGCTGGTTTGAAATCCTTGAAAGAGTTATGCCTTATCAGATGCATATCCTTGGTGACAAATGGAGGGCCTTGCTGGTTTGAAAATCCTTGAAAGAGCTAAGCCTTATCAGATGCATATCCTTGGAAAGACTGCCAATCGATAAGCTATATGGTTTGTTGCAATTGAAAAGCATGGCCAATCGATAAGCTATATGGTTTGTTGCAATTGAAAAGCATGGACATCTATGGTTTCGAAACTTTGATTGATCTATCTGCTCTAAGGTAACGAAAGTCGAGACTGATGATAGAGTGGCCAAATTCTATCTCTATACATTACAATCCTTTTGAGGACAGGCTCGATACGTGGTCTGTAAAAAGCGGCTTGTTATTTGTCTTCCGTCGTATAACCTCTCTCTCATATGTGCGCAATGTGGACGGTCATTTTAGTCTTCTATATATTAAATCATTTTGACAGTTGACCTGATTTTGATGTAGTGGAAAGACTGCACAAGCTTCTTGATAGTCTCTACTCTATGAAATCATTGACAGTTGAAGACTGTAATGCTTTGGAAATACTGTCCAGCAGGGCGTCTTTGAGCAAGTTGCTTGAAGATTATGGTTGTGACAAGGGAGCAAAGTTTAAATCAAGTCTCAAAGTAAAACCCTGCTTAGTCTGGTTGTTCTTTTGCCATTTTGACACACATCAATTGTAAATCTGTTGGTTTAAACTTTTATACCGATTCCTTTCTTGGACAGTGCAACAGAAGGAGCGGAAGGAAGCTTTACTTACTCATTTGTCTTGTTTGAAGCTTTGGATTGTGGCCACGTCCTAGAGAAAAATCTTGTCAGTCTTGGATTTCTGCCCTCAGAATCACGGGACATCATGAAGATGGTTAAGTGGAAGTAAAAGGTATTGGATTTGGATGTTCCTTGGTAATACCATGAGGCTTTGGCTGGGATTCATTGTTCTCGGTCTTTGTAAATTGTGCATGTTGATTGGGTAAAAGAAATCATTTTGTTAATATTGGTTTTTCAACCAGTAAATCGTTAAGAAGGGTCCTAGCAAGGAAGAGGGTTCACAGGTTGATGATTTTCCTATTTCAAACACAAGAAGAATGTAAGTTAGCAGTAATTTGGTTCCTTATATGAACATTCAATTGCATTTCTGTTCGTATCTTACACTCTCAGAAATCAGCTTTTGGGAGGAAATCTATTTCCCATAACTTGATTGATTGATATAAGTAACAAGTTCTTTGCTTCATCTGATCTGAGGACCCAAGCTCATTTCATCGATTTCTCAAGACTAGAAAGGTACTAAGAAATGGTTGTGGATAGAAGCCATTCAGCTAGACTTTTTTTACCTCTTTCTTATATTAGGCAAGCTAGAAGTTGTATGCTACGGAGACTCTTGCTCTTTTGGTTGTACTTGTGTGTTCCAAACAGAATGCAGTTGAAGAAATTAGTAGAACTATTAGTAATGAGCTGGAGCTGATTGATTATATATGCAGCTTCATGAATTCTATCCGCTGATGTCCCGAGTCTCGAGTCCTTAATAGTATACTTACTGCAGCTGCCCTCTACTCCAATTGTTGGTGGTACTGTGCAGACTTTAAGTCCTTCCATAATTGTTTTTTACGAGTGTTCTATCCGAAGAAGTCGTGAAGATGTATGTGAATATAAGTTTCGTAATGAAACTGCTGATGTCCTTGCTGAATTCGCATTCATCCCTCTGTTATATAATGATGTGATTTGCTTTTTAGAGAGCTCATTAAGGAACCTGCTCTGGTGTTTATAATATGACAGTGAACCATTGGTGATGTGGCCATGAAAGCTGATGTTCGATCTTTGATCGATCAAAGCCATTCCTTTCATCTGGTTGCATGTGGGAAACACACAAGGAAATACAGGATTCTTATGGAATCCTGCAACCATTTATTTCAAATAGAATAGTGATAATTTCACCGGACCAGGTATAATGTAGTCCAGTTCTTGGCCTCCATGAGTTTTACCATTACTTAAGAAAGGATGGACTGAACTGATATTTGAACCGTAATGAACGGGACCAAATGGATCAAATGCAATGATGATCTGGTCATTGGTCCTAAGATGTATCTCACTAATGGACCGCAGTTCTCATGAGTTGTTCCAACGGAACCTTCCCTATTTCCCTAAATTCGGGTTTGAATATATGATCTAATGGATTCATTTCGTTCTATTCCTTCATTATCTTTTCTTTATTACGCTTACCAACGCCTACCAAATCACTGAGCTATTCGGACCGAACCGTTGCACAACCCTACTACGTCCGTTCACATTTATTTCCAAGCGGAAAAGGTAAACCTCAAAACAACCTCACCAATCAATTTTCTATTCAAAATAAAAAGGGCGAGAAACAGGAAGAAAAAACACCAATCAATTAAAAGTTTGCCATCACAAATCCAACGAGATGAAAAACAATCATCATAATCACCTTCTCCTTGGCCGGAGATTGACAAAGGAAACCAAAAGAAAGGTTATTCCAGACACATTCTTCAAATTGCCTTGGGGAAGAGAAGAGAGTGGGAGACGCCGGCAGGAAGGCGCCGGCGTGACGTTGTCACGACATCCACCGCCGGCCGGAGGAACCCAACTCAAACAACGTTAAAGCAACAACCTGTGTACCTGGTTCGTCAATTCCTACGACTGATCTAGTAATCCTCGTAAATTTCAAAATGTTTATTCATATTGATTGTACATTTTCAAAATGATAATTGTTCATATTGGTATTTATTGCGATAATATTGGAGGATAATCTAATTGGGTTGAACGGTTGATATTACTAGAAGATTTGAATTTGTACAAAATAGTCAGTTGTGGTGGGAGGTGATGGAGGAGGTAAGGGAGGAAGAGAGACGTGAACGAAACGACGAGGGAAAAAAAAGGAGCAAAGAATTCAATGACTTGAAGTTATTGATGTTCTATTATCGTAGATAAAATTATGACCTCTTGTCAGTTAACCTTTGACTATAAGATTATTACTTGTTCCATTTCTATCTAGCAAAATCAAAATTTCGTGTTAAAATTGTCATTTCAAAAGGTGTGTACAACAAGTTCCGATAAGTGTGCAATTCATTCCTTCTATTGATATTCACACGAAATTTTCTTCTTAATTTGACTAACTCATAATTGAATAACTTTATCTCTTTCAACACAAATACCAAATATACCCAATTAAGATTAGAATGAACATGATTGAGTCTACAACATTTTCTTATTTGATTTTATCTTTCTTGCTCCTTAATTTTCTTTCTAATCCTACAAATTACAATGGTAACCTAGTTTAATATCAGTTTGATCTAGGATTATGTTGAATTGATTTCCAAATTGGCTCATCCAAATTATACATAAATTTATTCTTGAAACATTTATTCTAGTTTTTTTTTTTTTTTTACATACCTAAGAAAAAAAGTCGATACATCTTCTGACACGATATCAATAATTTGTAAATGTCAATACCAAACATTTCCCTTGTAACTCGTTAGGATTTAGGGGATTAGTTTCGAAAAAAATAGTTGGAATATCCATATTGATACAATAGATTGAGCTAATCCTCTCCCAACTTCCTACAAATCTTATTATTTATTCTTGAACAAACTGCTTACGTTGCCAATTTTATATGTCTACCCAATATTAACAAGCTCACCTATGCTTACATTTCTTTGTTGGTTAACTCTTAAAACATATATAATAGAAGAAAACAAACAAAGCATTGGCTTCTTCTAAATGACTTCAAATTTAGCACTTCCCTTTTACAATGTTGTGTCATGACTCATGACATAACACATTGACAAAACTCAAAATTTCCCCACCTTTTCGATTCTGTTATTATAAGAGAAAGGAGAAAAGAAATAAAGATCTTGCTGTGTTGCTACTCCAAAGACCAACTCCTACAAACCAAACCCTCAAACAAAAAGAGGAGGAAGGAAAAGGGTCATTTTCCAACTTAGAAGCCCTGTTTGTGTCACAAGAACCTCTTCATGTGTAGGCAAAGCTATGTAACACCAAACCCTCTAGACACATATACAAATAACAAAGAGCAGAAAATCAAACTAAAAACAGAAAACCCATGAGGAAAGTTCCAATCTTTTTCTCTTTTTCTTTGATAAATTTTGCTGTCTCTATTCTTCAAAATATATGTATGTTGATGGTATAGGTTTGAATGTCACAACTTCCCTCCCCCACCTTCAGTCCTAAGCCAAGGCAGCTTCTAAGTCTCAAGTCTCTTTCAGTTTAACAACCCCATTCCTCTCCTGCAAATGCCTAATATATACACACAGCAGTTCAAACATTACATGTATGCATCATTACTCAATTATAGCTCATTTACTAAGCAAGTTTAGGTAACTGATAGGTACATTCAACTCTTATATCCCAAACCCATTTCCCCTCTTCCATCTCTAACTTCCCTTATTCTGCTGCCCATTCCCATTCCCATTCCCCAGCTGCTGATCATCTCAGAGGGGAAAGCAGCAGAAGAAGAGGAGATTTGAGGAGAAAAAAAGGAAAGAGCAGCTAACTACCTGGTCTGGCTGCAGCAACGTACATCGCCGTCTCGTTAGTTCAAAATGCAACTCCACATATCTCCAAGCTTGAGGCATGTCACAGTGCTTCAAGGGAAAGGTGTTAGAGAGCTCATCCAAGTCAAAGTTGGAGGCAAGAAGGTTTCGTATCGAATGATCTTGTACTCGCTTCTCTTCTTCACCTTCCTCCTGCGGTTCGTGTTTGTCCTCTCCACCGTCGACTCCATTGATGGCGAAACGAGATGCTCCTCTCTTGGTAAGTAACTTATCCTACACCACATGAACACAACATGTTAACTCTTACTATCTCCCTGCATTTTACCCTCATGTTTTGTACTATTATTACTAGGCCATGACTTGGTCACATTGCATATGAACTTCTTAAGCTGCATGGGATTTTCCTGGTTTGAGAATTCAAGTCAGTGATTTTCATTGTTCAACCATCTGAAAATGCAGAAAAGGGGCTGACATTGACAAATATGCCCTTCTTAAGCCCCTTCATGGGTGCTGTTAATTTTCTGGTAGGGGTTGCGTAATTGGTATGCAAGAAAAGGGTTAGTAATATAATAAAGGCTGACAGTTTATAAGCCAACAAACACTTTATAAACTTAATCAACCACTGCCACATGACCAAATTATACTAAAAAATTGTTTCTTAATCTCCCCCGTGATTGAGATGCTGCTGCATAACGATAATGATGTTGTCATGGCTAACTGCATAGGATTTATTAATTAGTTACCTGATCTATCTGGTTGGCCTTAATGTTGGTTATCTTTCTGAACTGCAGGTTGCTTGGGGAAAAGAATAGGGCCAAGGTTACTAGGAAGAAGGATGGACCAATCTGTAATCTCCTCAGCCTTTTAATGGGAACTTGCTATTTGTCCTGCTTCCCCTTCCATTAGATGATGCAATCTGTACTGATTATGGAATTGGCTATGACTTATATTGTTCACAATTAGGTTCCTGAAGTAATGTACAGAGTACTAGAACAACCCATTGACAAGGATGAACTACAAGGAAGAACAGACATCCCTCAAACACTGGAGGAGTTCATGGCTGAAGTCAAAGATTCAGGATTTGATGCCAGAACTTTTGCTCTCAAGCTCAGAGAAATGGTACTGTTCCTTCCTCTATATATACACATCTGAATTGCACACAAAAAAAACCCAGAAATGTCCTAAACCCAGTTAAAAGGCTCTGATCACTCTTTCTTTCCTCTTCACAGGTATCACTAATGGAAGAAAGGACAAGAACAGCGAAAATCCAAGAGTATCTGTACAGGCATGTGGCATCAAGTAGCATACCGAAACAGCTCCATTGCCTAGCCTTGAGGCTGGCGAATGAGCACTCCACGAATGCAGCCGCCAGGCTTCAACTCCCTTCGGCTGAGCTTGTGCCTGCTCTTGTTGATAACTCTTACTACCATTTTGTACTTGCTTCAGACAATGTCCTTGCAGCAGCTGTGGTTGCCACATCCATAGTCCATAACTCATTGAGGCCACACAAGTTTGTGATCCACATCATAACAGACAGAAAAACTTACTACCCAATGCAAGCCTGGTTCTCCTTGCACCCTCTAACCCCTGCGATAGTTGAGGTCAAGGCGTTGCACCATTTCGATTGGTTCTCAAAGGGTAAAGTTCCTGTCCTTGAGGCAATGGAGAAAGATCAGAAGGTGAGGTCACAGTTCAGAGGTGGGTCTTCTGCAATCATTGCGAATAACACGGATAAACCTAAGGTGATTGCCGCCAAGCTCCAAGCTCTTAGCCCCAAATACAACTCCATGATGAACCATATCAGAATTCATCTGCCCGAGGTAACTCCTGAAAATTTGCAAGACTTGTCACTTTACTTCCAAGTATGTTTTGTTTTTTTTTCATTTCAAACCCATTTTGACAAAAGTCCTGTTGTTGATTTGTTTTTATCAACCTGCAGCTTTTCCCAAGCTTGAACAAGTTGGTGTTCCTAGACGATGACATTGTGGTACAGACCGATCTTTCGCCACTTTGGGACATCGATCTGAATGGGAAAGTGAATGGAGCTGTGGAGACATGCAGAGGGGAAGACAAGTATGTAATGTCTAAGAAGTTGAAGAACTACCTGAACTTCTCACATCCTTTGATATCTCAGCATTTCAACCCTGAAGAGTGTGCTTGGGCATATGGAATGAACATCTTCGATCTAGAGGCTTGGAGAAAGACCAACATCAGTAACACCTACCATCAATGGCTTGAACAGGTAACCATCATCTCTATCCACAGAAAGATAAAAGCGGAAAAAAACCATGGCTAAATGAAGCTTTTCCTCTTTTGTTCTGTTGTGTTGCAGAACCTGAAATCAGACCTCAGCCTGTGGCAGCTGGGAACACTACCACCAGGGCTAATCGCATTCCACGGCCATGTCCAAGCCATCGATCCATTCTGGCACATGCTAGGGTTAGGGTACCAAGAGAATACCAGTTATGAGGATGCTGAGAGTGCTGGTGTTATCCATTTCAATGGAAGAGCAAAGCCATGGCTAGACATAGCTTTCCCTCAGCTCAGGCCATTATGGGCCAAGTACGTTGACTTCTCTGATAAATTCGTCAAGAGTTGTCACATTAGAGCAGCTTAAGAACTTGACCAAATGGATAAGGCCAATCACAGCCCACCCACAAGGAAAGAAGACCATCTCTCTTTCTGCTTTGTATATGAAGGAGAAGACTACAAGTGGATGATGAAGAGAAGCAAAAAAAAGAGGTTCATTTGGCAGTTCCAGAACAAGAAGGCCTTCACAAGTTCAGATTGTAATATATTTTCCCCTCTTTCCCCCATACTTTTTCTTTCATTTCCTTTCTTATGGTCTTCTCCCGAAAATTTGTTCTTTCCTTCCTTTGTAATTCATGCCACTTAGGAGATTAGTAAACAGAAATAAGTTTTTTTGGATTCAAGAAAGGAAAGGAATTTAACAGAGAATCAATCATACAAAAGAGAAACTTCTTGTTATTTCGCCACTTCTTCCTGCAGTCTGTTTATTTTCAGTTATCAAATGAAGGGAAGGAATCCATTGATTCAGTCCCTTCACTTTCTTCCAGTTACATTGGAGACCAAATCTTTGAGAAACTTGGCAGACTTGGTGATGGGAGAATTGATAGCCATCAAATTATACAAAACAATCTCAACTTCACCTATGGAAGGCCTCGCCTTGAATTGTGAAATAACCTTCATCTCACCTCCTTCTTCTTCAACAAGAACACTCCACTTCTCCCCACTCACAATTCCATCCCTCACACACTTAAAGATCACTCCTTTCCTCTTGCTCAAAACTCCTTGAACCTCCAGCCCCATGAAAGAATAGATTACCTCAAATGAACCCACAAAGCCACTCAGTTCTTCTCCAAAATCGCCATCACCCCCTCCTTCAAGTCCCCATCTTGGGTTCAGAATCACAACTGGGTTTGGATACATGCCGTCTGCAACCCTTTTCACATCCACTAGCTGGGAACTCTCTGGAGAAAGGAACACTGCCACGTCAGCACCAGATATTGATCTCCTGATGTTGTCATAGGAAGACATGTCGACGTGTTCAACATTGGCTGATGATGATGATGATGATGATGAAGCAGCCAACTGGAATGCTTCGATTGCAGCATCTCTGAGTGCAGGGTTGGGCCAGAGGATCAGAGTCTTGACTGGGGAGCCTTTTCTTTTGATGGGCAAGTCCTTGAAGATTTCAAGAGCTAGCTGAGAGAGGGAAGCTGGGGAATCATCAACCACGGGGATTTCAACTTGGAACCTTGGCTGCTTGAGCTTCTTGATCCTGCCAACGAGCTTGGGGTTGTTGAGGGGCTTCTCTAAGGTTTTGGAGAGGCAGGTTTGGGCTTGGAGGATTGCTTCTTCTCTGGAGGCTGGTGGGTTGGAGGATGACGGAAGTGAAGAGTGGACTTGAAGACAGCAAAGTTTGGATCTTTTCTTGGGAAGAACAGAGTGGGTGATGGAAAGATGATGGAGGTCATTGTTGCGATGGGTCAGGGTAAATGGAAGGGACTGGCTGAGAACTGGATGGCGGTAAAGCAGTGGAGGTGGTGAAAGCTGTGTGGGGTTGAAGATTTGAGAATGGAGCTTGAGAAGACTACTGTAACCCATGGAGGAAAGTGGATAGTTTTGGTGGTGGAGAAAAAGATGATGATGATGCAGAGATACTTACATTGAGTGTTGGTTGAGACTTGCGAGAGAATAACTGAAGATGATGGTCCTGTACTGGTACTGCTGAGAAATTCGAAGGAGATAAGATATGATTCATGATGTATGGCAGCTTCACAGCCGCATAATCATTTCAAATGGAGTTGCCCCACAAGCTACAATTCTGCCTTTAGGACATCCCAATCCAAGATACGTCCTCTCAGAGTCGATTCCGATTTCCTAAAGCAAATCATTCCTGTTTTAGCCAGCGGATTGTAAAATCGTACCAGAGGATATTACCGAAAATGTCAACGATCGGATATTTTGTGCGAGAAGAATGAACATATAGTTCAGAGAGATGATACGGCTATAGAGATCTGCTAGAGAAACTTATTGAAATTTACACGAGTATACCAGCAATAATTCATAGATCATCACTCCAGATTGGGACATTGCAGGGGCCACGGAGTCACCCACCAATTCTGAGTTAGAACACTTCATCAAAAGCTCATACATGACCAAGAACAATAAGAGGAGAACGAATTACAACTTGGGTTGCAAAATCCAGCCCTCAGCCACCAACGATTGCGGCAACTTAAGCCACAGGCGGTCGGAGCACATGGTCCTGTGAGGTATCAACCGAAGCCGGCGGCATAAACTGCCACATAGCAACTCCCGGATAACCAATGAAAGGCACCAACTTGTTGCCGGGAGCTTGTCCTTGAGCTGCAGCAAAGGCGGCAGCTGGAATAGCAGGGGGAGCAGGCAAAAAGCTAGGTTGAGCGTGAATGGTTTTCATTTGCTGTTCCAGCTTCTCTTTCTCTGCTTTAAGACGCTGCTTCTCATCACGAAGTTCATTCTTCTCCACCTACGCAAGAAAAAGGGGGGCTTTCATTTAGCCAACCAGTATACATTTCATCATGCATTCTGCGCTTATCAGCAGATGAAAGGGCATGATAGCGTAGTAGGAAGCCTTCACCTTCAATTCTTTAATTTTCTCTTGAAGACTTGAATTTGAGTCCTTCAGTTTCTGTGCTTCACCACGTAATTGATTCACCATCCGGACAGCATCAACTAAAATAGCTGCCTTGTCGGTTTTGGGAGGTCTTCCAGGTTCCAATATGGAGCCTAATTCCAGAAACCTAATATGAAGAAGAAAAAAATTATCGCATCGTGATGGAAGAGAGAATGAGAACAAAAGGGGAAAAGGAGAGGCAAATACTTGTCATTGAGCCTATCCCTACGCAACTTCTCCCTACATGCTTTCGAGCTTGATCCGCTACATGACTCAGATCTACCCCTGCAAAAAAAAAAAGGACAGCATCAAGCATAACCACGATTCCACGACACCCTTTCATTAATGTCCATAAACAATCCAATCCAAATATTCAGATTTGGCAAGTGAATTTAGCCTAAAGTATACTAGATGCATGCATAAAGGTTCTACCAGCCGATGTTATTGTCACTGAAAAATTTTACTCAAGAAGCCTATGAAATTTCACTTTATGGCTGCTGATTCAAAGTTACTACTTTTACGATCATAATGTACTAGCAACATCATTAAGTAGCAAGTAGGCTATAAATAAGAGGTATTGCAACTACAGTTCAATCAAGCACAAAATTTGCACTTGAACGTGCATCTCCATGCCTACAGCTCAATGTACTTTGTCAAGCAAACAACCTGCTCTTACTCTCGTGATCCTTGCTGGAAAAGTAAACAAGTACCTAGGCCTGCCTAAATAATGATGTGAATTGCTAATACTAAGTAAATATAACTCTCCTCACCTTTTCTTGGAACTGGATTCTTTCTGGCCTTCGGATTCTCCAAACGACGCATCAATTTGACTAGCAAAGAACTCGGGAAATTGACAAGGATAAGTTGGTGACCATCAAAACAACAAGAGAAAACATAAACAGCAGGAGGCGGAACGACGTTGTGACAACAAAAACCAAACCGTGGAACGCATGCATCATCAACCTAAGAAAGGTCCGAGCTAGTTCGGAACTAGGGAGAGATTGAAACAAAATTATTGAACCCAGCAGTATAGCAATAGCATTCGCAGGGTGAGGTACTGACAAACTATAGCTTTTCGCAACCATTCTCAACTGGTCCTGTACTGGGCAGAGTACAGAAAGCCTTACAGCCAAGGTGGTAGGCAAGCATAACGCTTCAGCTGCTGCTTCCAGAAATGGGTAATTACAAAGAAATCAACTTTATATCAAAAGAAAGAACCCTAACCCAACCCATGCTAGCCAGGCAATTCTTCCCCCCAATACAGAATATTCGCAGCGGAGTCTCGATTCTTCCCCAATTGAGATGGACAGGGCGAGGAGGGAAGCAAACGAAAGAAGAACAAGGGGAGAGAGAGATTGAATTGGATACCCGGCGGCATTAGATGGAGGAGGAGCATTTAGGGTTTGGACGGGCCAGGAAAAGCCGTTGACCGGGACTGAGAAATTGGCATCGGGAACGGAGATGTCGTCGATCAGGCCGTACTCCATGATCCAATTCGTGTTCTCCGGGGAGACCATTTCCCGTCTCAGTAAAATACCGCTCCACGTCAGGAACTGCAATGGCCGGAGAATTGACGGTGGAGCGGGCGTTTCCCGGGGACGGTGAAGGGAGAAAGAGAAGCGGAGCGGTGGATGAGAGACAGAATGGAAAGATAATTGGGGGCGCGTGGGCTAGGCGATTGAAATAATGGAAATGCGGAAACACGTTTTAGATTCGTTGAATCTGTGCGTTGTTGAACTCGCAGTACAGTCGAGCGAAGACTCAATTAGGATTTGAATGGGCTTCGATTTTGGGCTTCGATTTTGGGCTTGTTACGCATATGGTAATAAGTCATCTTAAATCTTAATCTTAAAATATATTAAAGCGCTTTCACAAAAACCCCTCTGCCACGTACTCTTTCAAGCCTAGCCCGCAATTCTCGGAATTTCATATATTGTTTTAATTTTTTAATGCGCTGTAATTGGTAGTGGTGGTTATCCATTTTTCCCCAATCAATTTTTTACGCGTTGTTTGCTTTTATCCTACCAAAAAAACTCTATCCCACGTAATTCATATATAAAAATAAAAGAATCCTTTTCCTTTGGATAAGGGTTTATCATTAGCAAAATATCTTAACCATAAAAAAATCAACACATTTAAAATATGTACATTTCATTTCAAATTAATTAAAATCCATATTTTTATAAGAATTTTTTATTAAATTAATTTCTTACATTTACATATTCATTTTTCAAATGTCATTAGGTTTATATTCACCCATAATTCACAATGTAAATTTATAAAACAATCAATTTGACCATTTTGGGTTAGCATTAAGCCACTCATATAGAATAATTGATTATTACATTATATATGTCTGCGACCGACTTAGTCAATGCTATAAAGTAGTTTGACTTAAGAACATGGGTTGATTATGTTACACAAAAAATATTCGCTACGTATTTATAGTTGAGATGTTTACTCACAAGTTAAACTTCCACGTGCATTTAGATTACAATAGATAGTTTTCAAATTATTTAAAAATTTATGTATATTAGAAGATAAGAAATTGGAAATTTGTAATATCCAAAATAGTTTTGACGATGTGGAAATTCATTGGAATAATAATTAGATGAAACACATCCCGGCCAACTGGCCGGGCACAATTCTAGTTGAGCATTCATGGATTTTCTTATATCAGATTCAGAAGTCACAAGAAGAGAGAAAAGCAAGCAATCATTATACAATAGTGACAATAAAGAATTACCCTGTCTAAATGACATCACAAAGATGCAGCAAAAGTAGTTTCTTCTACTATTACTACTACTAACTACTATACAGGCTAATGTCTAATGATATGGTTGGTTAGCTAATGTTTAATACTACAAACTCTGCTCCCCTCCACTTTCCTCTAAAACAAATCCATCAATCGTCCATGATAGTGGCAGAGCAAAATGCAATGCAATCGGGTGCAGAAGGTGGCGTTGGCAGACCATATATCTCGATTCTTCAACCCAAGCTGAGGCGAAAGTCTGGAGATCGCAAGTTGGTCTGGCGGCGAGGAACACCAATCTCGCAGGCGTTCACCCTGGACGCGAATCGGAGCGAGCATAGCGACTCGCCAGCTGATGATGCCTCTGGCGATATATTTACAAACATCAACGTCTTCGAGTCGCCACCCAGACATGGCTGCATAAATTGAAACACCACCAAATTAACAAAGACAACCCAGCATATCATTGCTTAGAAATTGCCAAAAACCATTGTCAAAGAAACAACTTCTGAGCCACTATGATTACCTGAAGCAGATATGTGAGCTTTGAGTTCCTATATGGTACAAAATCTTCCTTCTTTGCCAGGGCAAATATGACATCGCTCAGCGACGACAAGCTTTTGTTGATTGCCTGATAAGAATGTGAAAAAAGAGAGGGTGTTGCACAATTAGTAGGATGAAACAAGGATATAAAATGGAGTAGCAGAAACACGGAAAGATCAGTAAGGTTTGTTGAGTCAAAATACTTGGGTTTCTTTCAATCGGTCGCCAGTAGAACCACTCTTGGAAAGACGCTCACTTCCAGCAAGATCAATCAAATTCAGAACACTTTCTACTTGTTGCTCAGTGCTCTAGAGGAGAACAAAAAACAGACATTATTCAGTTCCAATGTTTTCAGAAATAAATAAAGGAGAGAAGAAACATACACATAGATAGTCATGGTAGCATTTTACCTCATTAACGCCAGATATTCGCAGGGTGAAAACAAAATGACTTCTAGATGATTGCTCATTCATCTGTGTCTTGCCCACTGACCTGCAACATTGAAAAAAATGGGAAACAGTTTTTCGATCAAAACATTTTCGCAAACAAGATGATTGTAAGAACTTGAACAAAGCTCATACATTAATTAATCTGTCTGAGCTAAGAAAAGAGCATTCTACTCTTAACGACTACTTTCTCCTTTTCGTGTAGAATCAAACCACAAGCCAAGTAGCAAACAGAAGAATGGGAGTTCATCTCAAGACTATTTACCTACTGTGAGATGCCCGATCCAAGAGGTATGAGACCTCCCTAGAACTCCGAACATCTACAACAGTAAGGTCAGAGACAGTTGTGTTCCCGTTCAGGTCATGCTTGATTGCGTATTGCTTTCCGTTAGGAGTACCCTCTCGAAATGAATCTCGATTGGTTGATAGCAAGTCCCGAATTGTTTCATTGTAAATCTCCAACATTGACACCTGTCGTTGGTTGCAAAAAAGGGGAAATATATCACTGTTGTTGCTCATGCTCATAGAAGTATTTGAATCTCTAGCTACGTGCAGGACAGTACAAGAGCAAAACATGGCATTGCCCTCACCTGCATTTCATATTTCCAGCCCTGCAATTTAAGGGATTCCCTTGTTTGGAAGATTTGTTCCAGCGTTCGGGGAATCAGCCCCTTTAGCTCTGGCTGCCCTGGTTTCCCCATCATGGTGTAAGTTTTGCCAGATCCTGTTTGCCCGTAGGCAAAAATGGAAACCTACAATTTAAAAATAAGTGCATGAGCACAGGCAGGCAACACTAACAGGTTGAAAGAACCTGGAGATTCTCTTAGATTGAATTATATAATATCGTGTCATCCACTCCAACCTCAAAACAAGTACCTTGTAACCATCAAGAGCACTTTGAACGAGCTGTGAAATTTCCACAAATACATCCTCTTGTGATGCATCAGGTGCAAAAACTTGGTCAAAAGAAAATGAATATTTTTGGCCTGAAGACGATACAAACAAGCGATTAGTTTTGAAGTCTTTAATATCCAACTTGATTTCACATTTATAACAGTACAGGTAAAGACGTACCATTTTGATTTAAATCAATGGCACGTCCAAGAGCTTCTAATGAATTGGGATAGGAGAGAATCTTCCCATCAGTTCCAAGTCCATCATCAGTCAACGAGGGCCTCACACGGCAAAAGACACGAATATTCCCTTTCAGTTCCTTCAGAAAAATACATTTCTATAAGATGAAGATATTGATCTTGCAAAAAAAACGGAAAACTAGATAGCTCAAATTTTACCAAGATTGTATTATGTAGATGAAGATATTGATCTTGCAAAAAAAACTGAAAACTAGGTAGCTCAAATTTTACCAAGATTGTATTATGTAACTTCTTTCGAAGTTTCTCCCCTTCAACAACTTTTTGTTCGGCATCTTCCAACCGAGTTTGTAATGTTTTTACAAGTTGTTCTTGAGCTTCGAACTCCGTCTTTGTCTCGAACACAGACATGTCAGACGCCTGAAAGGGAATGCAAAGTTGATCATCTCCAAATGATTCTGGACAGTAACTCATGACAAGAATTACTAATAACAAAAAGGCAGGTGCGTAAGCATGAGATAAGTACCTTTAACCTACTCTCAGCGGCCTCCAATTTGTACTGCAACGTCCTTATCTCGTGGTTTTGTAACAAATATTTCTCCTGCATAAAACATTTTATTACTAATTAGAACAGCAGAGGCATGGAATTACTGATCACATTAGGAGAGGAAGTGTATAAATTATACCTCAAACTCATTTGTCTTTTGTGACTGCTCTTGGTAACTAGCGACTTCAGCTGTCAAAGTTTGGACTTGCAAAGTTAGTCGATCTCGATCATCTCTCACCTGTTGCAACTCTCCCCTTAGAGATGCAACTTGACTCACCAACAAATCCTTCTGCTTCAGAGCTTCGTCTGCAGATTCCTATTAAAGTTAACCACCAATTAAACTATATTCAGGATTGAATATTCAAGAGCAGCAAATCCCATGAGAGGCAGCTTACCTCGTATGTTTATAAAAAAAAATAGGAAAGATATGATTAAATCAACCATTGTACTGTAGAAATGTCTAACCCTAATAAAATATGAGCCCTTGGATCAAGGAACAGGTTTTTGCCTTCCAAGACTTGGTTGTAGTTCACATTAAAGATTGCCACAATCTTCCCTTGCAAAGTATTCCGAAAAATTTGGGCAAACATAATAGCATGCAAACTCTGTTTCGAGGAAGATATTCACTTAATCACTGCGGGGCCAGAACTTTTATGCTCAAGGACAAAAATGTGAATAAGTTATTCCTGGCCACTAAAATAAAGGGTGAATCCTGTCCCAATCTGCATATAAATTTAGAGAATTTCAAATGTCTTAAAAGAAGACTTCAATGATATACTCATATATAAGGATCATCTTTCAAATGAATGGATTTCACAGATTCCGGCATAAGTTTCCTTAACGGACTAACATCGTAATAAACTTGGTTGATTGAAGGTAAGTTGACAAACTGGAGATAAATTCAACTTCCTATACTAAGCACCATCCGAATCCCTATCTATATTACCAGACACCAGACCAAAGTCCAATTAGCTCGGTGCTAGACTTCCTATCTCAAACGAATAAAAGTAATCTGTGAATCAAAAGTAAACCAAAGAAACAACTGCAAAGCACAAGTGGTCTGCAAAATCCTGGCATATCTAATTATGCCCTCGATGATGAGGGCACTGACAGTCAGTTTCTTGGTTTTCAAAGGACAAAAGTTTCATCCGCGAATCCTTCTTAGTGCTAAAGGACACAGAGATACGAGCCTATAGAACAGATCCTGTTCAAGTAAGGTCGTTCATCCGCGAATCCTTGGTACAATTACAGTGCTTAACACTCCCTCCCAATTAAAAGGACACTTTCCTAGCACTAGTGTCCACTCTCCAGTGGCCTCCAATTGAAAGCAACCTCCATCAGTTAGTAAATACAGCAATTAAATGACACACGTAGTCAATTTATCCAAGAGCATAGG